GTGTCTTTGTGCTGGATTCTGCACCCTGGGGACAGGGTTGTGTCCCCCTGGGGGTGGCTCAGGGATGGGCACAGGGAAGGGAGGGGGATCTGGTGGCACCAGTGTCCTTGTCACCACAGTGGAGTGGGGAGGGGCACAGTGTGGGGCTGTAGGATGGAAATAACCCCCCACCACCTGGAGGATGTAATGCCTGGTGTGGGGCAAGGCAGGGACAGGCTGGAGGAGGCACCAGCTGCTGCTGAAGCTTCAGAGCATCCAAACCCTGGAGCCCCAGGGTGGGGGCTCTTGGGGACCCACAAGGCTGAAGCTGGGGGTGCAATCTGAGGCTCAGGTGTGTGTCCCCCACCCCCCAGGGAGCAGGCTGAGCACAGTGCAGCTCACACCTTTATTGCTGGAGCTGGAGGGTCTCACCCCACCCTCTCCCCCTCCTCCCTTCTCCCTTCCTGGGCCCTCCAGGCAGGTCCAGGTGTCCCAGAGCAGAGGGACAAGGTGACATCCCTCCAGTATCCAGACCCTCCTCCAGCCTTGTCCTCCCACTGTGGGCACGTGGGGGAGGAAGAAGGGGGTTGGGGGTAAAACCTGCCTCTTTCCCAGCCCCACATCCATGGGGTGACATCCCTCCCAAATAATCCAGTTCCAGGTTTTCCCCCAGGGAAGGGCAAACTGCCCAGTCTCCTTTTCCAGGGATGTGTCCATTCCCAGTGGATTCCCAGTGCACCCCAAGCAAAGGGCAGGTATTTACAAGGGGAACCACTGGAGCTCACTGGGCTCTTCCCAAGCAAAACCAGGTGTTGCCAGAGCCCAGTTTCCTGGGATGTTTGATGGATCCTAGTGCATGGAAACAGGGAGCTGGGCAGAGGGGACTGGTGCTGCCCTGTCACCCTCCTGCCCACCCTGGCTGCTCCATGTGGCTGTCACAGTGTCCTGTCCTGCTCCGTGTCCCCTCCAGCCCCAGCACTGGGCACTGTCAGCAGAACTGCAGGAGAATCAGCACATCAGTAGGGTTGGAAGAGGCCTCTAAGATCATCCCAGTCCAACCATCAACCCAGCCCCACCGTGCCCACTAAATCATCTCCTGAAGTGCCACGTCTACGTGGGTTTTTAACATCTTCAGGGATGGGGGAATCCACCCTGGGCCAGGACCTGACAACCCTTTGGGGAAGAAGTGGTTCTCAAGATTCAACCTCAACCTCCCCTGGTGCAACTTGAGGCCATTCCCTCTTGTTCTACCCCTTGTTCCTGGGCAGCAGAGACCACCCCCCCTGGCTCCAACCTCCTCTCAGGCAGTTGCAGAGCCAGCAGGTCTCCCCTCACCTCCTTGTCTCCAGGCTGGACACCCCCAGCTGCTCCCCACAAGACTTGTTCTCCAAGCAGAGAGCCGAGCCTCCCCCAGCACTGCTTTGGGGGGCTCTGCCAACCCCCCCCTGGGGCCAGGGAAGGGTTGGGACACCTCAAATCCCCCCCAACCCAAGCTGGACACAGACCTTCCAGCGATTCCCACATTCATTGCACAACACAAAGGTGGTCATGGGCTCATCAGCACTTCGTGTCTGCACCTGAGGAGGAGCCAGTGGATGGGTCAGTGGAGACCCCTCGGGGGGTCCCCCCTACCCCTAGGGGACCCCGATTAGGGGGAA